CATAAACATTGGTAAGAAATTAACAGTTTGAAGTCTAATAAAAAGAGGCATACTGACTACATCTGTTGAATTATCAGAAGAGGTATTAGTTGACAAGACTTAAAGGATGAAGAGACAGATGAAGGGTTTCCTATGCAAGTCTCTTGGACATTTCCAATGGTCTAAGCTACCATTTGAAGCTTCTTTAATTAGAAAGGAACTTTGCAATGACTAGTTTCAGCTTTTTCACCCAATCCAAGTCTATGCAAGGCACAAAAGCACTCAGAAGTATATTTCTTACAATTAATGACATAAAGCTACAATGTGAATATTGATCCTTTGACTTACTGTTATAGAAGGCTCCACAATATAACTGTGTACAGTCTCCATGTAAATATGCACACCTATACACATAAATTACATACTGTATATTCAAACATTCTCTGAAACACGCTTAGGTGGTTTTGGAAGGTATTTTCTCTAGGAGTATGTATAGACGAGTGACAAAAATTGAAAGGAATACATGAATGGGTTGATTTCAGGATTTATTATTACTTCTAGGTTCTCTACAGAGCTGCAGGAAGCCTCCTGCTTTCATCTTGCAAGCCTTACGCACAAGATTAATCTTTCTTTCTCAAACTAGCAGTATAATTTTTCGAAAAACTTACTGTTCAGTTAGCTTAGCAACAATATGGGTGTACCTTGTGTTGACTTGTTTAGCTTGTGCAACCTTCTCCTTCCAGCATCCCCACATGGATTTAACTATGGCTTCATACAGATTTTGTGCCAGGCAAGTACAGCCGTCTTCTTCCAATTTTAAGGTGTGAAACTGCAAATGTGTGCTCCTGGATAGCTTTACCTGTGTTACCTTTCCTGACAAAATCAAGCTATTCATATGCACCACTGCTTTTAGAGCTGATCCCCTTGGGTACTAAGTCAATGCATGAAATATTTAGCTTTTCCTCTACTGGAAAAGATAAATGACATCACTCTTCATTACAAAACAAACTTCTGTGGTATATCAGAGCAACATAGAGGCAATTAAACTCACTGTAGGAACTTTCTGAATTCTTCAGTAAAACTACATATCTATATGGAAAACCAGGTTATGTTTCCACAGTGATTTACAGTATACAGCAGGCAATAACAGAATGCTTATCTTCTTGAAGATGATAGTTATTTTCTTTTTAAAAAATGAAAAAGGTAAAAGGGAGCCCTCAGGATAAAAACTGATTTCTGACACCTAAAAATATTAACAACAGATGACATGAAATCTTTCATCTTCAATGCTTCAGACCAACTAAATGTCAACTTGGCAACTATCTATCTGGCTCTCGAAATGTGCTCAGAAAATGTCCCATTGCTTTGAAAGAGCTGTTTGGCTCAAGGGACAATCACACACAATGGGATTTCTTCCTGGTGTTTGAAGTAGCAGCTGCCAGACACTGGCAAAGGCCTTACTGTTGGTGTTGCTCTAAAGAAAATACGCTGTTATAGCAAGAAAAAAAGGCTTAGCCGTTCCATGTAATCTTTTCTAGCTGGTGGAGATCATCCAACTCAATTTCTAAGAAAAAACAAACAGCATAACACTACAACCTCCTGCTTCATTGCACAGGCAAAAAACCTTACCAGACTATAAAAGCCATAAATTCAATTAAAGAGTAACTTTAAGGGATTTAACAATATCTGTGGGAGGTAGGTAGGAACAGAGTCTTCAATCACCTTCTAACAAAGTCCAGATCTTTCTACTTTGTGATAAATTTAATTTTAAACTGAAAAGAAAATAGACTTGATGAAGGACTACTCATAATTCCAGAATCTGGATTATATTCCAGTTAGAGTTTAAAAAAGCCATCATTCACAATAAGGGGGAAAAAGAAAAAGAAAAAGAAAAAGAAAAAGAAAAAGAAAAAGAAAAAGAAAAAGAAAAAGAAAAAGAAAAAGAAAAAGAAAAAATAAAGAAAAAGAAAAAGAAAAAAGAAAAAGAAAAAAAAAAAAACAAAGAAGGGGGAAAAAAAAAAAGCAGGGTAGGGGAAGAGAAGACTCCCTAGGAAAAAAAGACAGAAAGAAGGAAATGCAGACAGAAGGACCAATGGGCACACAGAAAGACAAAGAAGAAATCGTATAATTTCAACACACTCACCATCTGGAAGGGTGAAGGCATCAGAAAGCAGCAATCAATTTCAAAATGGCCATGTCATAAAGATGCAGCCAGTGCTCTCCACCAAGTTTGGTGGTTCAGTCCAGGACAGGTGTACAGGAAAGCATTGTTAAACATCTGAGATGATGACTTTTACCTTTCAGCATTAATTTTGCCTTTCTGACTGTTGTCTTCTAAAAAGAAAGACATCACAGTGAAATCACCAGTTCACACATGGAAAATATGGGTTTCAGTGTAGTCTGCAAAAGAGTAATCACAGAATATATTTCCAGCTTTGCACTGGACATCAGTTTCTCACCTTCAAACCCAAACACCACAATTTTTGGAAATGTTGACTGTAAGTCATTTGTTGCCTGCCTATAAAGCTGCCCATTTTTACAGATTATAAAAGAAATCTGGAGGTCCTCTCAGAATGAAGCGTGCAATATGTAAATTACAATAGTACACAAGGATTTATGTATCTTAATGCAGAAATGCAATGCAGTTGCTTAAAAACATCAACATTTTTATTTCAAAAGAAGTTACTCCTGTCCAGAAGTAACTATTCAGAATCAAACCGCCCAAGTTAACACAAGCAGAAAGGGGTAATAAATCTATTGTTTTGTCTAGCGACTCTCTACTAACAACCATTTCTATCTGTAGTAGAATTGTCTCATGTATCCTCACTCTCCCCTTTGTTTTTACCAGGTTTTAAGATCTGATCTTACGGAGGTAATCTAGTATGCAGAGGGGGGAAAAAATAACTCCTAAAAGTCATTTCTTATAGTTAATGTCCCGAGATTTTTATTTCATATTTATCTTATAATTTTCTTAGTACAGTAACAATAGAGGGAGCCATGCATGACCTGGACTTTTAGCAGACTGGAGAGTAGATGAGGACATCCACTACAGTAATTCTCTTCTTTAACCACCTTGAAATTGCTTCTTTCCACTTAGTAGTGAAAAATACGGGCATTCCCCTCTTTTAAGAGAATCTGATTCAGAACCTGTGAAGGAAGTTCTAAGGGATAAGAACTGATCTGAGAAGAAAATTATCCTTCTTAAGAAAGGCAGTTGATAAAAAGGCA